ATTTATCACAGTTTCTCAACTGCACTTCAAAAAAATTTAGTTTTGCTTTGATTTCCTCTCAAAAGATAACTATTTGTACTTGGCAGTTTGTTGTTTTATTGTTGTTGCTGCTGCTTATCCTGTAACTGGTTAAAATATTTTTTATAGTTATAGTTTCCAAACTTTGGGCAATTTCTGTCCCAGGTTCGGCCAAAATAATTCAAAGAAAAAAAAAAAATTGACATGAAACTCAAAAAGAAAATATTGGTATCGGTATCAGTATCGGTATTGGCGATACTCTTTCTGCATTATTGGATCAATACCAAAATATTAATTATTGCACATCTCTAGTATTAACATGGGTGTTTTTTGTGAATCCCTCTGCGGTTTGTTAGAAATGAAAAAACAAAGTTTTTTAAAAACTCCTTGTTTTTAAAAAACAAATAGTTTTTAGTTCACATACTTATTTATTCTTTAAATAAGTATGTGAAATATCTTTAGCCTGACCCTTGCTTATCATACTTCTGCCCAGAAAATATGTAATTTTATTGTACTAAATGACATCCAGGATTCCATTTATGTTCTTAAAGCTTACCACTTGAAGTGTGAAATCACGTAACAGAGAAGTATTCATGTACCTTTAATACAGACAGAAATCAAGCTTCAAAAGAACAGAACTCTAAAACAATGAGCACTTTGATAAAATTAGCAAAGTTCAAAACTTCTCTTGCTCTAAGCAGCAACATAAACATATTTGTGAAGATCTACTGGGGCAGAAATTCATTATTTTTGTCCAAGGACAGGTTACTACACTACCACATGTACGACATAACAAGAGGTTTATCCAACTGATTTTACAAAACTTCCACAAAATCTAATAAAATCAGAGACGAGGAAACAGGATTTAAGGAAAAAAGAAAAAACTCTGCATGCTGTTTTCGCCTCCCTTTATTTCTCCTGGCTCAGGCCCAAACACTAAATTTGACCGCCTCCCTCGGGGAGAGTAACTCCAGGCCCGAATTCCTTTGCGTTATTTCATGTTTACTTTCTGGTGCAACATTTTTTTGCTCCCTTCTGGGTACCAGCTTTCATTAGAGGAACTCCTCCAATGTCAAAAATGTCATCAAAATCCATGTCCAGGCATCTGCAGGCCTTATATACAAAAACATGCTGAGCAGGTTTCACGGATGTGTGAAAAGCACCGTGAAAATGCACAACTAAATGCTGAGCTTCATTTTTTTTCTTGAAGGAAAGAAGAGATGGTTCGAGATGTAGAAGAAGTCATTTCCGTTGTGTTGGGGAACCCTGCGAAGGGTCAAGTCTTCCACAACTCTGTGTGAATAACATAAACACCCAGAGCAGCCCTCCTCCACTGACCATCACACACAACTCTGTTCATCTCACTGGTTTGGTTTTTCTTTTCCTCACAGTTAAATCACATATGTGTGTGTTTCGGGTTCTTTAAAAAGGCTTGTATGTTTTTGTTAATTTGATATTCCAGAAAAAATGTTGGGTGTCTTTTTTTGTTTGTTTGTTTTGTTTTGTCTTTTTATTGATTCCTTTAATCTAAAAATCAATTTGATTCCAGGCGCGTCGTCGTTTCGTGTCGATTTCTTCCCATGAGAAAATCCCACTTTAGAGTTTCATTGCAAACAGCAGGCCAAACATACCTGGGAGCGATGTGGATAGCTCTGTTTGCTTTCTCGCAGTCCCATCAGAATCTGTTCCTCTTTCTCACACTGACGCATCCCCCTTACAGCAGCCAGGCTGCTCTGATCCCACCGGCCAGCCGGACATGCAAGACAAAACCCAAAGGCTGCTGAGTTCTGCAGCGGGTCGACTGATTCAGTTTGGAGACTGGACCAATCTCAACGTGTTCAATGAAAAGATCAAAATTCAATTCTTAATTGTTAATTCAAGGAAGCAATAAAGATGTGTTTTGGTCTTCAAAAGCTTGAATATATTTTAGAGAAGCTAAACTAAACTTGTCCATATCTTACAGAGGAGTGAATAAGTAAAAAAAAAAAAAAAGATAAATAAAACAAATGAAATCTTGACAAAACATCTCAGCGTGTTAAAGACTTTTAATTGTAACTAGAAGAACTGAATCTTTGTTAAAGGAATGAGACAGTTCACTCATTTAAAGGTCAGACACCATCAATATGAATATTTACGCAGCAAAAACACAAGATAGTGATTTTGATCTAGTTTCTAGTGCAAATATCTAAGTGCACTTGAAATAGACAAAACTAATTTATAAGTAACTTTTCTGTAAGAAAGAGGAGCTTGTTTTCAGTAAATAATCTCTTAATCCTGGTTAAAAAGTTCTAGATCTCAGACATGTCTTGTTATAAGTGAAATAATCTGCTAGTGGGACTTGTAGTTTTTCATGAACGTTAAGGAAATATTGACCTGAAACAAGCTTTTGTGTCTTGCTGAAAAGGTACTTGCAAGTAAGTTTTGTTTCATTAAGATACTTGTACCAGAAACTAATGACTTTGTAAGATTTTGTGCTTTTGCAGTGTAAAGCTACAACCATAAAATCACTCAGTATGCAGATGTCTCAGTTAGAAAAGAGCTATAGTGTGTGTGCTTGGCAGAGAGAAACACTGGACTGGACCTTGTCTTGGAACAACCCAAGGCCTTAGAATCTCTTTGTCTGGAGATAAGAGTCATTCAGCCTCAAACTAGCATAACAAAGATGACATTATGTTCATGACCTGAAGGGAAATTAAAAACTCTGGAATGTCGCACTTTGAAGGTTGCATGCTCTACATTCTCATGAATACTTGTCTTGCCCGCTGTGTATGGTTTCCAATTTAAAGATGGCTAACCGATGAGCTCCGCCTTCAAGGACAAAACTCCTCCTTGGAGCTGCAGTTTCAAAGCTCACAGAGCAGCCCTCCGCCCCCTCAGCTCCTTCAGACTAGCCAGCAGCAATTAGCAACCACCTGGTGGAACTGCAGAACTAACTGAGCCCATTATACTTCTAAGTACAAGGCTGGTGAAAACGTTCTCAAAGGGTTAATAGAGGAGCCACTTCCTGAAGGCGGAGCTTCAGAAACAGCAGGAGCTTCTTAAAGTGACGCAGGCCCAATTTGAAGCAGTTAAAATATTAAGACAAATTTCCTTTTTAATATATGTAGCATTTTATAACAACTGAAGGTAACATAGTTACTTGATTGTCCTATAAAATGTCAATATGTACCTGGAAAATACACAATGCAGTCCCATTAAGTCATACACGACTGAAGCTTGATGCTGAACACTCGCTCTACGGCCTTCTTGTCTAATTTGTGTCTTTTAGTTGGTTCTCGTGTGTGTCAGCAGTTGTGCACCAACAGATTCAATCATATATACACACCATGTGTTCTGGTGATCATGTGTGTGTACATGCATGATATTCTCCCGGACATATCTGGCTGTCAGTGATGGTGATGAAACCCTTTCGCCAGGCTGAGTGCTGGGGAAAACGATGGCAGTCTCAGATTTCAGTGTCGCTGCTACACACACACACACACACACACACACACATCACACATGGACACGCATCCAGTGTCTCGCTTTTCAGCACGTGTCAACCTTAGTTGACAGAAGGAAATGTTTGGTTAGCAGCACACCTGCAGCAACTTTCCCAAGACTGTGTATAAATAAACCTGCTTAAAATGGAAAAGCAAACTTGCACAGACTGTACTAGAAATAAAGTGAAATGTGACCGGTGAGCGGAGGGAGGGAGGAACAGTCGACACGAGATGTTTGAAAGAGGAAAACAGGTGAGAGACAAGTGGGTTTTATCACTAAATAATACTTTTTCATTCATATGAACACAGAGGGGATCTGAGTGATGCCAACAGCGGCATAGCAAATTATTATTATGCTGATGACAGCCAACTATCTCAAAGTTTGGACATTTTGGAATAAACTTTCAGTTTGAGCTCGGTCAGATTTAATGAAGAACGTTTGTAAACGTCAATTTTAAACTCTTATCTTAAATTTTATTTTGGACTCAATCATGCTTGTGTACACCCTGCCCAATGTGCTAATGGCGGAGAAACAACTTACCGTTACAGGAAGTAGTTATGGGTTGTCATCTGTGGCTATGCTAACTAGCCTTAGTATTCATGGCAGGCTTCGTTGTGGGGAACTAGCTGTAACAGAGAGAAAGGTGAAGGTGTGAGCGCACATACACAACCTAATAGACAGCGCTAAGACCCTCCTCCTGCCTCTGACTGGTTGTTTCTCACCAACTGTGTAGAAAGAAGAGGAGTTCGAACTTTTCACAGATTATTTGTCTCATATTGTTACAACATGGTGACAGTTTTAACAAATATGTAAATGCATGTTGTTTATAAAAGTCATAATGCAGCTTTACTGATTTTTTTTAATTAAAATTCCTTCACACATTTCCACTCACATAAAATCATAATAAAGTCTGTTGAAATTTGTGTTTTTAATACAATAAAATGCCATAAGATACCAGGCAAATGAAATGTTTTTTAAACATGTATTAATTTTTGTGATGCTCTTTTAAAGCACCATATGGAAGAAAATAATATGCCAAAACAATTCTGAAGCCAGATGACCGATATGTATGAGCTAGATATGAGCTACTGATTAGTTCAAAGCTACTTTATATCAAATATAGTAAAATATATAGTAATTAATGCGTAAATGTATTTATTTAGGTCGTTTTTTAAACAGGAAAAGATTAAAAGATTCCGGCCTGGCTCAGAATAATTGCTGATTTACAGCAAAATGCTGTTCTGCAGAATATATATATTAAAAAACCCACACAGATACCCATCATCACATGTAAATAATAAAACTATAGTTTTTTTAAAAAAATGACATGAGTTGTAAACTGATGTTCTACGTGTTTTAATGATTACTTCCGTAAGTAATGAATGAGAAGATAAAATATGGAGGAAAAGCCCCGTGCAGGTGCAGCGTGAAGCGGGGACGCGCACGGACGCGCGCGTCCTGCCTGCCGTACCTCCCACCTCCCCGCAGCTTGTTTAACTTCTCGCCTCCTTCACTCCACTGAGCGCTTTTGTTGAAGTCCGGCGGAGCTGATGCGAGTCTTCAGAGCGCTGCAGTGATTCTCGGCTCACTTTAAGCGATGTGTTGGAGCTAACTGCGCTGTGCTGCGTGAAAAAGAAAAAGGTTTTCCTTTCAGTTTTTTTGTTTTTGTTTGTTTTTTCTTACTGATAACCCCCCTCTTACTGTGGATAAGGAATTGGAAGTGAAGCTGCATTCCAGCGGGGCTCTGGATTATACTTTCCCAAGGTAAGCTTCTTCTAAACCTCCGCTTGATTGGAAAACTGTGAGCGCACACTGAGTCTAATAACGACCTATTTCTTGGTAGAAATATTGCACTTTTAATAACGCTTAACGCCGAATAATAAATACATCAAACGAACAATGATGTTGTGATATCGATTATACTTTAGAGTTAATCAACAACTGGGTGAACTTTAACGCCAAGAGAGTGTGAAAACGGAGCTCTGTTCGGCTCACATGTCAAAAACCGACTTCCAGGCCGGGGGGCTTCAGCAGCGGCGCCTCACATTCCTCCGCACCCGGTGCACGGGTCTGTATGTCGGGTCAAGCGGGCGCTCTTGGTGGGAGGAGGACGGAGTCCGGGAGAGAGGAGGAGGGCTCCCCGCGGAGAAATGTGGAAACACGATTAGTTCTTATCTCTATCGCTTCTTCAGACCGTGGCGGTGTTGAATTTTTCGGATTAGAGGCTGTTATCTGCCCCCTTCTCCGTGGCTCCTGCCTGACCTCTGGCTCTCTTATCACCTCGTGCGGGAAACTTTTATTCGTGATGCCCGCGAGGCAGCAGAGGCAGCCTGTCTGCCAGGTCAGACGCTCGCGCTGGGTCTGATCTTTCTGGCATGTCTTGTGTGTAAATGTGTTGTTTATAGCAGGCGCCGATTAATGTTTGGTCGTACATTTGATGCATAAAAAAATGAAATAGAAAAAAAAGTTGTTGGTTTAATCTAGAGCTATCTATGGTTTTCTCTGAATATTGGTATCTCAAGGCTTCAATTAAAAATTAAAGTGAATCCTAATGAATTTAGAATATTATCAAAGAGCTAATTTATTTCACTTATTCGGTTTTAAAAGTAAAACATATATAGATTTCACAGCTGATGGAAAACATCCATAATGGAAAGTTTTACGGAAGAAAAAAGGTTTGCAAGCAACAGGTGTCATCATCTTCCGAAAAGTTTTTTTTTTTTTTTTTTTTTTTTTTTTTTTTTTTTTTGGGGTTTTTTTTTTTTATGTTTCAAATTTACTTTTTGTTTCCAAAAACT